TCTAAGGAGCCACTATAACCCCTGAAAATCTCTACTGTCAGCTTTGATGCACCCCAAAAGATCAAAGTGCCTTGCTCTCTAAGATGCATATCTCAACAGAGCATCTGTTTCATTTCAAGAAATTTTTCATTTTTTTTTTTTAGTGATAAATTTACACGCAGTAGTTAGTGTACAGAAAATTTTAAGACACCTCTGGAGAAAGCTGTAAATTCTGCAGATTGAGTCAGGACTCTCTTGATAATCATTAAAAACCTTGAGGCCTAGGATAGTGTTTGGAGCATAATTTGTCTTCAATTGTGTGTTAAATGTTTGCTGAATAAATAGTGATGCAAAATTAATAAACAGTGATGAGAAAATTCACTATTTGAAGCATGAAACCAGAGTGGAGCTGAAAGAAAAAAAAATTAAAATTAAAGAGGCTCACTTATCAAAAAGCAAAGCCACAGGGAAAGGGGATCAATAACTGTATCCTCTTCATTCCATTTTGACTAAGCCTGCAAGTATATGAGGGGACAGGAAGCTGGGAGAATCTCGAGAAAAGAAAATGCAGTCTCCGAATGCCACAGCTCAAGAGGAACACCCCAGCCTATTGTCTCCAATGGAGAAGAACAATCTGCAGATTGACAAAGCTCTCTGTTTACACTCTTGGACAAATAAACTAATTGTGCCTTTGTTTTAACCTAACAAATCATAGCTTGATTACAGGTCATTAGTGACCATTAATATGTGAAATTGTTTGCATTTCACTAGCATATCTGAATAACAGTCTTGTCTTTCATACTAGCTTAGTCAAGTTTCCAAAGGGAAAGCCCCGTTATCAGGCCATGAGCAGGACTTAAATTAACAATTAGCTTCTGGAATTGAACTATGATGCAGAAGAATTAATTATTTTGGTTCATTGTGGTTCTGCCTCCTATAGAACCAGTCTTTGCCTTTGAAGTGGAGACATGCCCTTTGTAACAAAAGATTGTGTGACCACCTCTCTCCAAACATTCTCAATAATTCCCAATGACTGCTAATGTGTCAGCCAGCAACACAGACCTGATTAGATAGCAATAGTACAGACAGTCCTAAGGTCACAATATGATGGCTGATTAGAGTCTAGATAGATGCAGGGAGCACATTGGGAATTATCAGAAAACTAGAAGTGACAGCAAAAAAGGTCTATTTTGGTTTTATTCTCTATTCTGCCTCCACTTTTAAAAATAGTGGAGGCAGAATAGAGAATATGTATACCTGTGTGAACCTGGTAATCCAGAATTTTAAAAGGTGCAATAGGAGCTTTGGATTGTCTGCATTAAGGGGTAAGATTCTTCAAAGGTATTGGATAATTGTCAAACCTCCATTTCATTTTGTGTTGAGCAGTCACAGAGGAACATGGAGTGATTAACAGAGATTAAAGATCTCAGGAATGTTTGAGAACTTTTTAACATAGCAGTTGCCATTTAGGAGCAAACCCATGGTCCATCTTATCGAATGTTCTGTTTTTTCAAAAAATGTCCCCTATTAAATGCCACTTTTGACCACTAATGTGTTGAGGCCATAGAATTAGAGGTGTTGCTATCAAGGCAAGTAATGGCAGCCCATACATCGCTGCAGCCTTTTTTACTTTTTATTCTGGACTAGCTACCAACCACATGGTTCATGCCCCAGTTAAAAATAGTAATGATAGTATAGCGTTCCATGTGGTCCTTTCAATCAATTATCCTGCTCATCTCTATCTCCGCTTATGAAAGTTAGATTATGAATAGTATGGTTACGGTGCAAAATGCAGGTTCTAAGTTAAACTTGTCTGTTTTCAAATCCTGGCTTTTCTACTGCTAATAAGGTGACTCTGAGCAAGTTTCTTAGCCTTTCTGAGCTTCTCTTATCTGTGAAACAGATAATAATGGTGCCTACCTCAAAAGGTGATTTGAAAACCCTAATTAGGTAATAGTACATGTAAAGGGTTTAGTATATGACATGGCACATAATAAGTGCTCAATAAATATTAACTGCTCTCATTTATTTTTTTCCACCAGTAGCCATATCCACTGTGGCCACCAACTCCATCTCCCACAGAAAGATAAGGAAACAAAAATATCTAAGATAGATTTTTCCTGAAGTCACTCAATTGCTAAATAACTGAGATGGGACTAACCCATCGTCTTGACTATGATTCTCTCTGCTTGGAATACTTTTCATTATTCTTCCCTCCTCCTCATCCTTCAGGTCCCAGTTTAGCCATCTGCTTTCTCACGAGCCCTTCTCTGAGCCCTTTTATGTCATTTTACAGTCTTTTGTACTTCCTCCATCAGAGAACCTCTCATCCTGCATTATAATTGCCTGTTGTCCTGTCTGTGTCTGCTACGAAACCACAAGTTCCTTAACAGAAGAGACCAGGTCTATGGACTCAACCTTTGCATCCCCAGCACCAAGTACAGAACCAGACACATAGTAAGTGCATAATAAATACCTAATAAGTAAAAGGATGGATGCCAGACTCTTCATTACCAATCTGTTGACACATATTAAATTATAATTTCTCACTGTAACAGATTTTGGAAAATCAGAGAACCCTACATGGTTTCATGTCTTATACTGTTCTTAATCAGAATCTGAAGTCAAAAATTCAAGGCAATTTTTAAAATTAACATATAGTATGTTACATATTTATGTAGTATACGTGATATTTTATTATATGCCTGGAATGTATAATGATCAAGTTACAGTATTTGGATTACCTATCACCTTGAGTACTTATTATTTGTATGTGTTGGGAACATTTCAAATTCTCTCTTCTAGCTTCTTTGAAATATGCAATAAATTGTTGGTAACTACAGTCACTATATCAAACATTAGAATTTATATCTTCTATCTATCCATATATTTGCATCCATTGACCAACCTCTTTTCAAGGCCGTCTTAACCAAATTCTAACAGATTCAGTTTCTGAAGAAAGTAGCTAAGCTTTTAAAAATGACACCTTGAAGTGACTCTTACATTCTATGAAAACACAGGCACGTTGGTATACATACACACTCACCTTATACCTCACACTTATCACTAAGCTATGCACAATGCTTATCTAGTCACCAACCCTCAAAATTTGGAGAAGAGCACTGTCTTTGTACTTTGAAGGGATTTTTCAAAAACATTTGAATTTGATGAGGCACAGTGAAAAGCAGGTATTTATCCTGGCTGTTCTTCACAACAAGCTCTTAAAATTCAGACTCTGAACTGTCTCTCATTTACAGTTTTAATAATTTAGAAATTTTGAGTCTGATGTAACACAAGTCATAAACTTTGGCCAAATAAAAAAATACTTCCAATTCTTTTTCTCCCTCCACCTTGGAGGAGGAATAGAAGGCATAAAAGTTGGAAGCTCCAGGGAATCCACTCAAAGCCTATTCAGTTTCATCTCATTAAAGTAACATCATCAAGGGCAAACCAAATATTGATCAACTTAGGACCTATGCAACTTACGACCATTCGACTTTACGACCACAATCACTAGCCACGACTGCCGCGCGTCTGGCAGCACAAACGTTGCCCAGCTGGGCGTACAACAGTGCGGACCAGCTTCTGGCCACACCACCATCTCCGCGTGCACCATTTCAACTGTACATATAGCCTACTCAACTTACGACCAAATCGTGTTACGACCGTTCCGCGGTCCCGACCATGGTCGTAATCCGAGCACTAGCTGTAAAACCCAACCCCCCAATCAATATTATATTAGAATGCATTGAAAGTGTTACTTAGTTGGTAGGAATGAAAAAAAAATCATACATTGAAATTACAACAGATATAAGCCTTTTAATCAAATAGACCAGACAGCAAAATGTAATTTTTCTATAGCAAGGGAGGAGCTGAACTCTTCCTCATATCACCAACATTATGTAAAAACTCTGATCTTTTATTTTATATTAAAAATTTAAGAAATATCACCTGCATGGAGTCTATATAAATGTATAACGATAACATTGCATAGTTCCCTTAGGATACTAATGCCTCACACATCTTTATCCATAGTCTGATGGAGAATATTCATAAATGTATACGCATACAGATACATACACATCTTGTGTATACACAATATACATACACATACATAAACACACATACCTGCTCTTTTTCTTCCCTTTTTGATCTGTGACCACCTTTTAAATTTCATTAGCTCTATGATAAAATATTTATCTAGAACCTTTTCCCCCCTTCATTCCTTTTATGAAAGGGAGCTTTTCTCTTCTGAATGTTATATTCTTTGATCTGTCTCAGGGTTTAATCTCGGATGATTCTTTTTCTTAAATCAAAATACAGTTCTTTTGTATTAAATCTTATTTTCCGTTACTCCAAAATATAGCCAAATGTGGAGGCTGTAAAGCTAAAGCCTCACCACACACTGTATTGATAAATGAATAAAAATACCTAGCAGAAGCCTTCGTGCTACTTCATCCAAATCAGGTGGAACTACTTAGGAGTTAATAATGAAAGGGCTTTAGAATATTTGATACAGGTGAGAAGCTGTTTTTTCTACACAGTGATTTCTAGATCTGTTTTCTCATTGGAAATTACCCTCTCAATGAGACCTTTTATTTTTCGTTATATTCAAAGTAAGATGCCCATATTGTCTTTTCTTTCTTTCTTTCTTTCTTTTTTTTTTTTTGCCTCCTAACCCCAAGCTCTTTTTCTTTGTTGAGCAGTTAATATATCTACCTTGTTCTCTAGCTTTGACAAAACTAACATCAATAAAACAGGCTCTATTCTTGTTTAGCCAACACTCTCCTGGTAATTTCATAGCCAGTTATAATGTATCATTACCATGTGCATTAGGTCAAAATATGTTCTTGTTCCTAAAACAATAAATCAAACTGTGCTTCCTATGTACAATAAATTTTTTTAAAATGTAAATTAACTTATTTGTGTCCCACAGAACAACTTTCAAGCAATTAGAACTATTCAACACTTCTATATTCTACTTTTTCAAGAAGAGTAGGTATAAATAATAATACTAATACCTTTATTTCCATAGGTGTTTTCGTCTGGATAATTCATGCTTCATTATTGTGCCACTATTCTCTGTCTTGGGTTCTCCCTTGGCTCCTGTGACAAACATGGGGTTCAGATCCAGACTCCAAGAGGTTGTGATGCTTCAACTTTTGGTAATATACAGGTGCATTTACACACTCCCACATACCCCCTACCATCTCTTTGGGGGAGTTTGCTCCTGGCCCGTCAAAGTCCAGGCTAACAAGGTAGCACAATGAACACTGTAAAAGCTCCTTGGCCTCAGCTCCCTCGACCTCAAGTGGACTGCTTCTCACTTGAGAATACAGACATAGAACCTCGAGTCTCTAAGTGTTGCTTCTGATCAGGAGCAGCAGCAGGATTACCTGAGAAACTGAAAAAAAGTCACTCTCAGGCCCTATCACAGGTCTCTAGATCTGTTCTAAGCTCAAAGAGGTGGAGCCTAGAAGGTTGTATTTAACAAACACGTCAGGTGATTCTAATGCTCATTAAAGTTTGAAAACAGCTGCTGTGTGGCGTCTAGGGAGTTTTGAAGAGGCTGTAGTGAGGGCTGGCTTGATATAGTCAAAGTGGGGTACTGTGGATGGGATACTCAGCATTTGGCTTAAGGTTTTATGGTGCAGGGCTAGGAGCAGTGGGGAAAGAGAATGCTCTGGTGAACAACAACTTTTATACAATAGGAACTATTCAGAAGCATGAGCAAGTCACCTCACTGGTTAGAAATAGGCCTCTTTCTCTGCAAGTGTTCAAAGGTATAAGGTTATACACTATGAGAAGCTCTGAATAAAGTAATAAAAGAAATAGTCAAAATAAATACGTAAGATTAGCAAAAAACAAATTAGGCCTTAGTGGGAACTTTCAACATACCACTAATATAGAACAAAAAGTTCATAATTAATTCATTATTTTTTTAGTATCTTAAAGTTACTATCTTTAAAAACTAGCCAACTGATGGTGCATAGAGAATGAATTTTAGTTTCCTCAATGCTTCATTTCATATTCAGAAAAAGGTAGCAGATTGTTTAGATTGACACAAGAATCCATCCCAAGAGATTATGTTTGTTATTTAAAAGAGAGCAAATCACCACCAGCCAGTACTGATACTAGATCAAAGATTAAGGTTGTGTTAACTTATTTGTCCTCTGTTTTGTAACCAAAAAAACTATCTTGCAACAATAATATCTTAAGACATATACATAACTCTACTAATATTAATGAAAATACAGCCCAACCTTATTTAGCAATTACTACCTACTGTGTTCCTGGGGCTGTCCTGAACACATTACAGGCACTGTCATTTTTAATACTTACAATAACCTTATGAGATTAAACATTGCTGTCTTCATTTTACAGATGAGGCATCTGGGTTCAGAGAAGTTAAATAACTTGTCCAAGGACTAGCAAGTGATGGGGCCAGGATACAAACCCAGTCATGTCTAGAGTCTGTTTTCTTGACTACTTTTTTCATATAATTCTAAACCCTATGGTTGGGAGGGTAGAAAGTATATGTGGTCCAGTGGAAATAATGCTTATGACGACTTAAGTCTTCTAAAAATACTAAAAACAACCAATGACTCATTGAATGTTTAATCTGGGTCAGGGACTGAACTAGCCATGTACAGGTATTATCTCACTTAATCCTCACTACAGCCATGGAAAGTAGTTACTATTATTGGTTTTTTTTTTTTTTTTTTTTTTTTTTTTTTGAGACGGAGTTTCGCTCTTGTTACCCAGGCTGGAGTGCAATGGCGTGATCTCGGCTCACCGGCAACCTCCGCCTCCTGGGTTCAGGCAATTCTCCTGCCTCAGTCTCCTGAGTAGCTGGGGTTACAGGCATGCGCCACCACGCCCAGCTAATTTTTTGTATTTTTAGTAGAGACGTGGTTTCACCATGTTGACCAGGATGGTCTCGATCTCTTGACCTCGTGATCCACCCACTTCGGCCTCCCAAAGTGCTGGGATTACAGGCTTGAGCCACAACGCCCGGCACTACTATTGTCTTAACTTTACATAGGGTCAACTGCAGTTAGAGGATGTAAGTAATGAGCCCATCTTCTTTTTTTTTGTTTTTTTTTTGTTTGTTTGTTTGATTTTTGAGACAGTGTTTCACTTTGTCGCCAGGCTGGAGTGCAGTGGTGTGATCTTGGCTCACCGCAACCTCTGCCTCTCGGGTTCAAGCCATTCTCCTGCCTCAGCCTCCCGAGTAGCTGGGACTACAGGCATGTGCCACATGCCCAGCTAATCTTTGTATTTTTAGTAGAGGCAGGGTTTCACCATGTTGGCCAGAATGGTTTCAATCTCTTGACCCGGTGATCCACCCGCCTTGGTCTCCCAAAGTGCTGGGATTACAGGCATGAGCCACCGCGCCCAGCCCCATATTCTTACCAAAGATTTCACTGCTTACATAATAAAATGGAAATGAGGCAAAAACCACACGTAGTATTCAGTAAATGTTGCTTTCCTGTCCTTACGTTAGTTTCTGGGGATCAGAATGGTGGTGTTGATGATTGATCTGTTGTTTTTCTTACCTATTTTCTTGCTTGTTCCAAATGGCAGATATCTGTGAATTAGATATTTGGGTGCAATATACAGCCATGAAATATAACTAAACCCACTGGCTTCTCTGCATCTTTAGTATCACCAAACCCTAGCACTTTAAGGCTTGCACCTTAAATGTGATTCCAGGAATGTGGTTCCAGAAACTCTTCCACTTGGCAAGAGTAATAATGAGTGACTTTAGGAATGAGACACAACCCATGCCCAAGCCCCAAAATCAAAGGTGGAAGGCACGCCACGTTGTTCCACCCAAAGAACCTTGTGCTAAAAATGTTGGTGGTCAATGCCTTACAGAAAGAGTCAGCAAGCAGATGCACTTTTTTCCCAAGACTGTAAGATTTCATCTAGTTGGGAGTTTAGTGATTTATCTGGTATCACAGAAAGAGCTCTTTTCTGTGCATCAGAGTCTCTAAGCCTCAGTCTTTTCTCCACCATAAACTAGGTATGTGATCATAGGCAAGTTAATTAACTCCACTGGGTCTCAGTTTTCTCACTGAAAAAATGAGAATAAGGGAAATTTACTCTTTATGTTTGTTGTGCAGGTTAGATAAGACCTGTGAAAATGCTTTGCAGAAATACAAATCCCCTCTGCAAATGTAAGATGACATTACTATTTTATGAAACTTCTTCCTTGTCTAATATTTAGTTGCTAATGTATCAACCTGTTTAGCAAAGTTGGTTTACTGATGAACTAATTTAAAAGCAAGAGGAAGGGGGAATTCTTTAGAATCGAAAACTGTCAGTAGTACCAAGGACAAGTGAACTATTTGATCAGTTGTTTTGATGGTTAAGAGGGAGTAGGATGTTTATTACTTGGGTAACCAAATAATCTGCATGTGGCAAATCCCTGTGACATGCAGCTTACCTATCATGCACATGTGCTTCTAAACCTAAAATCAACGTTTTTTAAAAAGAGGGAGTCAAGAGCCAGTAAGCTTGGCAAATCTCCCAGATCAGTTCACATTGGTATGAAATAGCCTGAGAAAACTTTCTGTGAAAGCAACAAGGAATATCATAAAACTACCATGTAAACGTATGGGACATCAATAGCTGCTCAACTTGGGCTCAATCAATGTATTTTACCAAAGATACCTTTGGGTTTCTTTTTAAATTTCAAGGTGCCAAGTCTCTTGCTTGTCTACGTTAGAGAGTAGAACGTGGCCTGCCTGTAGATTAGAATGGCACAGAAAGGAGGTAGTATGAAGGACAGTTTTACGTAGGGAGAAAAAGGAAATTCCACATGAAGTTTACCTTGGAAAGATGAAGAAAATATGGTATTTAGCACTATTGTCTTTACATCTTATTGAAGGGATTCCACCAAAAGATATAAGAGCAAAGACACAAAAATCAGGAAAACAATTTGTCTAGTGATTTTACATTTATCATAGACAATGGTTTCCTCTCAAGGTACCTAGCAGATTAAAATTACTTTGCGATGTGACGCTACCACCCTGCTTTTCCTTTTATAGCTCTCATCTTAAAATGTTTTATAGGTCAACACAAACAGGTAAAACAAAAGCAATCATGCTATTTTAAATATACATTTTTCTTGGGCCTATTAAATTTAGAAAAGCGTATTTACTCTTTCAAGTAGCTAGTTGTGGCTTGAACTGATGGCTTGATCAATCACTCAAACTCTGGCTCCAGACCATCTTATGCAGGTTCTCTTTTCAGTATACCAAAAATAGAGGCAGAGGTTGCTTAGATCATGAAACTAAGGAAGGAGACCAAGCCTTTGACACAGAAAACAAGCCATACTTTCTAAAGCCAAGATCATCTCATGAGAGGATGGTAGTATTCTCCTATGTTTCTCTGACAAAATGTACCCATACTCTGTCACTAACAGCCTCATTGCAATACACTACACTTGACCAACTGCCCCATGTGCAGACCTCTCCAGTAGGTCCGATAGTCACTGATCCACTGATCAAACATTTTAAGACTGGCTTTGGCAAAACATGCCAGAAATTCCTTCAGGGTAATTAAAACCACCCTCTGTGTCAATAAACACAGACCGTGAAATCTTTCACGTGCAGAGGGGCTGGCTCTGACCCACTGGCTCCAGGACATTTTTTTCTTAGATGGGTTTTCCATCATTGCAATTGATTTTCACTGACTCATCCAGACCATCGCTCAGCCCCCTTATACAAAGATTGGCTGAGGTCAGAGATATCATCTTACCTTTCTTGTTTTGGTCAAGACATAAGAACCAAAGGGGCTATACACCTAAGGGCCAGGCTGATTGCCGAAGCCCTTTCACTTAGATCTTCAGGTGAGGGATCTGAAAAAGGATTCTTGCTATAGAATAAGTATGACAGTCACAGTATTCACTGACCGCTGCTGTTCCAACATTCAAACTGATTTTCTTTTGAAGAATTTTTAATGTGTCTTCAAAGTAAAAGGAAGAACTCAGGTGGATATTTACTACATTGATTCCCAGAGACTGGTCACACAGTAGACACTCCATGAATTGTTTCTCACCACAATGATAGCTTTGTTGTTTTTATTATATAAACAAT